TTTTCCTTCAGCCTTCTGGTTTTCTTTTGGTTTAGATTCATCTCTAAGTATTCTTCATTTAGGTTCTAAGACAGCCAATCAATCAAACCCTCTCCATTAGGATTTCTGTAAACAGCAAGAGAGTGATGCCCTTTCCTGTCACAGTAAAATTCACAGAAGACTGAAATCAACAAAACAGCTAACTCACTGTGTGTGTCATGAATCTCATGATTCTTACCCAGTTTGATCAAGTTAACCCAGTACTTCATTAGAGTCTAATAAGGCGCTTTTCTTCCTCTGTAACTTCACCTGAGAGACAAAATACACAATTATGATGTGTGGCAAAAGCAAAATATTGCTACTACAGAAGCAGCATTCAACTCTCTGAATATGTTGTAACAATTTAAGATTACAACAGAGGCACCGTACTTGTAATAAGTTAGTAATACAGCAATTACCAACATAATTCTATTTATGAATGAGATTTGCATAATTATCCTTATTCTACAAATGGGGGAATTGCGGTACAAGGAAATAAGGTGATTTGCCTGTAGTTGTTCAGGGAACCAGAAGCAGAACCAAAAAAAGAACCCACACTTCCTGAGTCCCATCAAAAGGCATGGGAATGGTCTACTCAAGGAACAGGCCACATGGTTTACTTTCATAGTGTTGTGGACCTGAAATCCTCCCTATTATTCAGAGCATGACTAGGCAAAGATTTCTTCATTCTGATAGAAGACAAGGTCATTCCATGTCTTATCATTTCAAGAAAATGAATTTAAATAAAGTTACACATATGCCCACCATATCAGTTAGGCAAAAATAATTTTAGTTACAGTGTGTTATTAATTATAAATGAATCTCAATACACCAATAAAAATGTTTGCTATTTTAATGCTCTCAGTAAATTCAGGCAAATAGAAGAAGAACTATGTAGTGTTTTCTAGTGTAAGGTAACATTAGTAAAAAAGTAAATATAAAATATAAGCAAAATCAAAAGGCTCTAGTAACAAATTAACAGATGCTTTTACAACATAATTGGATTGGTCCAAAGTTCAATGGAGTAAAAGGAAATACTTTCATTTATGTAGGCTGTGAAAAAGACTATGAACTACTGTGCAAATGACAAAAATAAAAGCAGAAATAATGGTGAATTCAGTTAAAATAAGTAGAATTTCTGTGTTTCTTTGTCAAAATAAGAACTGCTCCTAATTTGTTTCATGGGAAAGAAAATACTCCATCCCAAGTATTATTATTTTAGTCATATGCAATTAAAGCAAATTGCTGGATTTGTAGTACTCCTGATGTGATATCTTGCATCTAATTGTTCCATGACTGGCACATCCATTAGGACTGTAGCAAGATGGGATTCTGCTTGAAGGAACCAAAACTTCCAGAATCCTACAAAAATGCCCAAACTGGCAAGATAAAGGCAATTCCAGTTCTGGGTATTTTGGCATCGCTTGTCTACACTTAAATACTAGAAAGTCTCCAGAATACAGAGTTGCTGATTTCCCAAGCAGCAGTAGGCCAAAGGACAAATTCCAGGTTGCTTTAGCATGTTTTAAATTTTAAGCCTGTATACTTCACTTAGCAAACATCTACCTGTGTTATTACGCTCTGCTCTCAATATATTATGACTATGAGGACAAGTACAACACTCTGGTACAAAGATAAAGGAGCACATACACTTGCTTCACACAAGCCTGCATACCTGTATCACTCTTCACCCTCAAGTTCCCAGGGGAAATCTCAAGAACAGCTGCCTACGCATGACTGGATTTTTGGCTACATTTGATCCAGCATGTAGAAGGAAGTCTGAATATCCTACTGGTGTTCATTAGCTCACCCCTGTGATAATTCGATGCTTTAATGGATGGTAAGGCAATTTCTGCATCCCCTACCAACAGAAATCAGTCCCATAGTTCAGCAGGAACACTTGTGTTTCCTAGATATTCATCCACTGTCACAGGCAGAAACTCTCATGGTACATCCTAAGAGAAAAAGGAAACAAGACACAATCACAAAAATTATCATTCTGTGAATTAGCAGCTAAAACTGTCGTCTTTTAAACTTTAGAGATTCTGCAAAGGCACAAAGCTCTAGGGTAGCACCCATGTTGATGGGAAAACATTATAGTAAATAAAATCTGTTTAGACCTTCTGGGAAGGGGGAAACCCAAACAAACAAAAAACACCAAAAAACCAAACCCAGCAAACCACCTAAGGTGAGTGATTTATGTGGGTTGAAATGCTACAGGAATCAACAAAGATCCAGAAACTTCTCCTAATTACCTTTGGCTTCTGTTTTCTTCAGAAGAGAGATGGGAATTAAAAAAGTAATTTCGCTGAGTCTGTGAAAGATTTATGGAGTATTAGACTACAGGCCAAGACCAACGGGCTCTTCAAACACAGCCTAAGTTTTTAGTGTTAGAATTTGCTGCTTGAAAAATACATTTCACCAGGAGTGTGACATACCTATTTTAAAAGTTGCATTTATTCTAATATAAACATATTGAAAAATCCTGCCTTGAAATCCATCAACCAGGAGATTAACCATCAGATACCATAAGATTAGGGACATTATTTGTAGTAAGCCTACATACAAATACATAAGATAAAAATGCTGGTTCAGAGGTCTAGAATTTTCCCAAATCCCAGGCCTGACTCAACCCCATTTGTGCAAGTCCTGTGTTAGTAATACTATGACTAAGACATACTCATATAAGAAGCAGGAAATTAGAGAACACCAGACATCACAAATCTTTCATATGCATTAAAAATAAATCTCACTTCTCAAATTAGATTATTAGTGCAACAGTACTTACCAACATTGGTAGTAAAAACTCTGAAGTTGAAGGGATTGATTTTTCACCCATTTCCTTCAAACCTGTTACTTTTGATGCCTGCACAGAAAAGAAACCCGATTTTATTAGTGCCATTCAACTTTTCCAGTATTTTTAACATTGGAATTGCATCCTTCTACTTTATTCATACTACTGGTGTTTATTTTTGCAGCATCAAATCATACGCAAAAATGCAGTACAGTGTAGCAGCTGTCTTGAAAAGCTTTTATTTATGCCAGTAAAGGTTTCCTGTGTGAAGGTTTCTACATAAATCTCTACACACAGTAGTTTATCCTTAAATCAACACATTGTTATGAAACTTGTTAGACAGCATTAGTACAGTACTGAAGAAAAGTCTTTTGTCCCAAAGCCTTGTGTTCATTCTGGTAGGCAAAGTCATTGGCAACCTCTCTGTCTCCAGCCCAAATGTTGTATTGTATATCTCAAAATAGCTCTTTATCCCTTCTTGAATAAAAATAGACCTCCTGTGTTTTTCAGAATTAAAGAGGAAATTAAATTTAAGGGCCAGACTACAGCTTATTCTCCATGAGCAGCCTCTGTGAAGGCCAAAAACCAAGGTCTACTTATCAATACATTACGGGCTATGTACTTCTCTCGGAAAAGTGGGAAAGGGCCATGATCTCACTTTCTCTATAAAGTAGCTACCTGTTGCATTTACTGTTTGTTGTTCCAGTCCAGTGTGAACAGCCCTAGGATTTTTTTCTATGATTCTTCTTGTGGACCAGGAAGACAGACCAACACCAGAAGGCAGATTTCAACATATGGGAACAGGTGTGTGCACCTGTCTGTGCATGTATACATCCACCCAGGCACAGACACATACATGCACATATACGAGGCAGGGAGAGAGGAGCTGGAAAAGGTAGGATACCATGAGGCTACTTAAGTTGAACACTTTCCACTAGTGAGATTAAATGAACATGGACTTCTTGTGCTTCCAAACTGAACTCTCTTTATAAAATTAAAAAGAAAACTAACCAACCACAGGAACCCTCACTTTTAAAATCAGCCAATACCTTCACCACTTAGAATAAGTCAGCTCAGTCAGCTTTCCCAAACACCCAGAAAAATATCCTTACCAACAAAATTTATTATCCAAAACAACATACACAAATTGAAAGACCAACTTAAGAAAGGCTTAGATTAAGAAGTGAACTTTAATGCCAATGTAATCTATGTATTAACTGAATATAATACAAAACAGAGATGAAAGCAGAGATAAATGAAAACTTTGCTCAGTGGTAGTTTGTAAATCACATTTAAAGTATCAGCAGATGTGTAAACAGGTCCTGCTGGAGACAAACTCAATGTGGCCCAACTCCACGCATTCAGCAGCACACCTAAGGTAACCCCCGTACCTGTGCTGAGCAGCAGAACCCCAATGTAAGTATTTTCTTCCAGCTGCAACACCTTTTTAAACATCCAAGTATTTTCTTTCAGTCAGCCACTGGGGGAAACTGCTGCCTTTCTCCTGGGGAACAGATACTAAGCCTGTGACCAGGACTTGTTGCAGCAAGCAGACTCATACAAGGCTGGTTTGGGCTGGAAGGACCCTAAACCTCATCCAGTTCCAACCCCCAGCCATGGGCAGGGACACCTTCTACTTGACCAGGTTGCTCCAAGCCCCGCCCAACCTGGCCTTGAACACTGCCAGGGATGGGGCAGCCGCAGCTTCTCTGGGCACCCTGTGCCAGCGCCTCACTGCCCTCACTCGTGCCTAATATTTAATGTAAATCTCCCCTCTAGCAGCTTAAAGCCATTCCCCCTTGTCCTGTCACTACATGCCCTTGTAAAAAGTCCCTCTTCTGATTTCTTTTATGCCCATTTCGGTACAAGAAGGCTGCCATCAGGTCTGTATTTTAACCAAGCACACCCTCTCCGGCACTAAGCTCCGTTCAGAGGTCCCTCACACATTCCGCAGCGCAGCTGACTCCGGTGAAGCCACTCGGTTTTCACCCTCAGACGTTAGTTAAGGCCGTGCCAGGCTCGGGCGGCCGAACACCCTCCCTCAGCGCTGCTCCCTGCCCTAGAAGCGACCCCGACGCTCGCCCGAGCTGTCCCAGCAGCTCCCGCACACACTACCAGTTACACTGCTCACCCACAGGGAGCACTATGGCCACCAGTAACCGGGGACCGCGGACTAGGGCCCGCCCCACTCCCGGTGCGGTGACGAACGGCGTCCGGGCTCCTTCCGCCGCGCACGCAGCCGAGGGGGGAGGGCTGAGAGGCGCCATGGTGGGCCCGGGGCCGGGCGGTGGGGCTCCGCTGGAGAACGCCAACCCGCTCATCTACCGCCGCTCGGGGGAGCGGCCGGTGACGGCGCGGGAGGAGGACGATGAGCTGCCCGACATCATTGACGACCGCGAGATCTTCGATATCCTGCCTTGATGGCTGGGCCGGGCCGCGCTGGGCTGAGGGCGGGAAGGCCGGGACCGCGGAGCCAGGTCGGCGCCGCTCCGCTCCGCTTTCCTTAACCCGACACATCTCATTCGCTCCATTAACGACCCCGAGCACCCCCTCACGCTGGAGGAGCTGAACGTCGTCGAGCAAGTGCGAGTGAAGGTGAGGTCCCCGCTCGCCGCAGAGCCGTGCGGCCTCTGCCGGCGCGCTCCATCATTGACATGAACGCAGGCCTGCTGCAGCCGTGTGTGCAGGTTTACTTGCCCTGTCAGTCAACAGACCCACGGGCAACCAAGCATGGCTTCGAGCTGCATTGCATGTAAAATAAAGCATGGCATTCGCGGTGAAGGCAGCGAGTGTGGTACTGTCGTGGTTTGTGTACTGGAGGTGTTTGTTTTAACAGGTGAACGACGCAGAAAGCACGGTGTCAGTGGAGTTCACCCCCACCATTCCTCACTGCAGCATGGCCACCTTAATCGGGCTCTCCATAAAAGTAAAATTGATTAGGTCTCTGCCTGAGAGATTTAAGGTGAGTAATCAAATCACTGTGGAAAGCAGAAGAGGGGAATTGTGTTTAAGAAGGAAAAAATAAAAGGCAAAAAAATAAGCTAACTAACTTACAGTGAAAAATAGCAAGAGCTATTTTAATATTATGGGGGAGGGAACACACCAGAAACCAGAGAGGGCAGTGGGCTAAGATACTGATGCAGGATTACAGTTGTGTGGCAGGCATGTCAAAGGTGAGCAGGACGCAGGGTACCCGCAGTGCTCTGCGGCACAGGAGGAAAGGTTGCCACGCCCCCTTGTCTGAAGCAGGTTTAAGCAGGTGGGAATGCAGAATATTCTGTTATTTCAGACTTTATTCTGCTATATATCATATAGAAATATCATACATTGGCAAGAATATCCATTTTTCCTTTCTTCTACATAACTGTCTAATTTTTATTATTAAATAGTTTGAACTTGACCTTCCAGTATTTTGTTGACTTTTTCTTTCGTGGTGCTTTTTAAGCTGGATGTTCATATTACACCAGGAACACACGTCTCTGAGCATGCAGGTAAGGTTTTTAGGCCTCTGTTGTATGGTCTTTCTTGTTCTGTATCGTATTAGAATCACAGAATCAACTAGGTTGGAAAATACCTTTAAGATCAAGTCCAACCATTACCCCAGGACTGTGAAGACCTCCACTAAACCACCACTGAGGGCCTCATCTACATGGTTTTTGAACACTTCCAGGGATGGTGATTCCACCCCATTCCTGGGAAGCCTGTTCTAATACCTGATCACCCTCTCTGTGAAGGAGTTTTTGCTAATATCCAGTCTAAACCTCCCCTGGCGCAGCTTGAGGCCATTATCTCTTGTCCTATTGCTTGTTACTTGGGAGAAGAGACCAATCCCCACCTCACTACAACCTCCTTTCAGGTAGTTGTAGAGGGTGATAATGGCCCCGCTGAGCCTTCCCTTCTCCAGACTAAACAAGAGCCCAGAACTGAGCAGAGGATTTGAGGTGCAGCCTCAGCAGTGCCCAGTACACGGTGATGATCCCTACCCTGACCCTGCTGGCTACACTACTGCTGATGCAGGCCAGGATGCTGTTGGCCTTCTTGGCTGCTTGTACATAAGCTGGCTCATGTTCAGCCCCTGTCAGTCAGCACCCTGAGGTCCTTTTCTGCTGAGCAGCTTTCCAGCCACTCTTCTGTGTATTCTAAACATCTCCTCGGGCAGCCTGTGTTCTCAGCTGTTGTTGATTTGCCTTGGTTGTGGAGGACTTAAAAAATGGGGAGAGACTGGGGGTAGATTTTTTCTTGTGTTTCACCTACACATGCATATCTCTCTGCTACTGGATCATGAACAGCTTCCTGGTTTAATTTTTGATAACACGGTAGCTTTGACTTAGACTGCAACTCTGGAGTGTACTTAGCATCTGCTAAATGCAGTTAGCACCCCCATGCTTAGCAGTGTTCAAGGCCAGGTTGGACAGGACCTGGAGCAACCTGATCTAGTGGAAGGTGTCTTTGCCTGTGGCAGGAGGTTGGAGCTTTAAGATCCCTTCCAACCCAGACCATTCTGTGGTTCTATGTTCTGCAGTTTCTGGTGTACTTGAGTACCATAGCAGCAGTATGATTATGTATCTCAATGTAAAATGCTTTTAAAAAGACATTGTATACCAATGTTTTGACTGGGTTAATGTGTTTTGTTGGTTTTTTTTTTTGTTGTTGTTGTTGTTGTTGTTTTTTTGTTGTTGTTGTTGTTTTTTTTGTTTTTTTCCTTGTACAGTTAATAAACAGCTTGCTGATAAAGAACGTGTAGCAGCTGCTTTGGAAAACTCTCACTTACTGGAAGTGGTGAATCAGTGTTTGTCTGCTCGATCATAATCGCCCGATGGGAAAATTATTGGTATTTTACTATATTAAACAGATCTTGTATGTAAGTGCTGACGCTGGTGTTATAATATACATATATCTGTGTTCAAAATAAAATCATAATGATTTTCTTAAACGTTTTCTTACTCCTACAAAAAATGGTTTGTGGGAAATTGTCTTACAGGCAGCTACAAAAATACAATGAAAATTGATTTTTACAATTTATTAGTCATAGCATAGGTAGTCTTTTTCTTTAAAAAGATTGGCTTCAACTTGGTTTATCCAGTTTCTCACTATCCAAAATTAGCTATAAACTGCGATTTAGAAGTGGATTTTGCACAACGGACTTCACAAGTTCGTATGGTTTAAGCCCAGGTGGCACCTCATAACCAGGCAGCTGCTTGCTTGCTACTTCCCTTCTTCACCTCTGGCTCCTGGAGGGATGGGGAGGAGAATCAAAAGAATGTAACTCCCACAGGTTGAGATGAGAACAGTCCTGTAACTAAGGTATAACACAACCCACTACTGCTACCACCAAAATTAATAGTGGTAAGGGGAATAACGGGAGAGAATATAACCGCTCACCACCTGCAGACCGACGCTCAGCCCCATCAGAGCAGTGATCCTGTCCTTCCGGGTAAGTCCCCCCAGTTTATATACTGGGCATGACATGCTGTAGTATGGAATACCCCTTTGGCTAGTTTGGGTCAGGTGTCCTGTCTCTGCTTCCTCCTGGCTTCCTGTGCCCCTCCTCACTGGCAGAGCCAGTCCTCTTCAGTCCTTGATCAGAGTAAACGTCACTTAACAGCAACTAAAAACATTCGTGTTATCAGCACTGTTCTCAAACTCAAGTCGAAAACACAGCCCTGCACCAGCTACTAAGAAGGAGAAAAATAACTATTACAGCTTAAACCTGGACACAAGTACACAAAGCTAACTGGCAGTTAAAATCTTTACATTCATATGACTCTTTTGGACTGCTAATATAATTTTAGCATCAGATGTCAAAAACAGTGTACATTCATGTGTGCAAAGTAGCATCACATTTTAGCGATAAGTGTAAACACTTTTGAATAATCTGGGTAGCTTTTATTACATTACCTTGGATTAGACAAATACGGAGAATTCCCAAGACCTATGGAAAGTATGACTTGTTTTTAATTACTCATTGATTGTGGTAGAAATACAGAATCTTTGAGGTGGGTTATTTTGTTGGGGTTTTTTTCTTCATGTGCCTGCCACAATATAGGAGAGAATAATTCATAGTTTTCTGTAAGAACAGTACAGCTATTTTCTGTACCGTTTCCTCACAAGATTTGATAGCTCAGTGACAAGTTTTGCTTAAGGCTATTGAGATTTAATAATAGTACATGACCTAAGCTTCTGGTCTGAGAAACGTGTCATTTACTCAACTATTGTATTTGGCAGAAATTGATAATAGAGAAAAATAATTTAAGAATTCCAGAATTAATCTGAATTTTTGTAAAACATGTTTCTAATGGACCATATGGAAAACATGTTTCTAATGGACCATATGGAAAATTAACAACTTAATGAAGACATCCTATTGGGTATGTTGGTGCCTGCTCACATGCGATGTTACCTTCATCATTGTCAGTTACCTGTATAGTAATACACTTTTAGAAAAGTAGATTGTGCTCACCTGTTTGATGGTAATGCTTTATATTTTAGTGGTATTTTCTCTTTTAAGGTCTCAGATGCTGTTGAAGCTTGTGAACAATGTAAACCAAAGCCTAGTGGTTCAGTTTAGTCTGTGTTGAGCAGCTGAGGAAACCGAGGCAGTGGTGATCCAAGTGTGACATCTAAAGTCACACAGCAGACTAGGACAGAAACAAATGCAAGCTTCCTGTTTCAGAAACAAGGCACCCAGTTTGCATAGGTCTTCTACAGAAAGCTAATTCTGCAGCAGTCTTAATCTCTTAATCTGCTTATTCATCTTAGTTTCCTTTGAATGATCAACACTTGTTTGGATGTATGAATGAAACTGTAAATAAAGACAATATTTATTTACTAGTAATATTGAGAAGGGAGCAGAATGGTCCAGCTGTTAATACCGTCTTTCCTCTCTGCTTATCTTCCTGCATCACTGAACTGATTAGTTCTGACATTGCCAGTGTTTGCACCACGAATGAAACTTCAGCCATGGCAGTGCATGTAGGCAGCTTGTAGGCAGCATGCTTGGTTGGTTTGATTTTGTTTTCCATTTTGTTTTGTTTGGTTGAGTTTTTTTAATAGGAAATTGATTTTGCCCTCCTGGATTTTGGGGAAGAAAGGAATGCAAATATGTGCCAGGGGGAAAATAGAAGGATGACTAAGTTGCCAACAGATTGCTTCACCCTGTGCTCCAAGTAGAGAAAGAATAGTGAACTATGCTTTGTTGAATCTCTCTGCTTAGCTTTCACCACTACACAATAGTAGTGTCAATTTATTGGGAGTTTGGCACTTGCCCCATGAAGCACATTGTACACAGTAATCCTGAGGTGCAATTTGTACCATTTACTTGCTCAGAAGCAACAGTATGTGGTTAGATTATTTAAATATATAGCATATAGTTGGGGGATGACTTTTCAGAAAATGGGACTCTATTATGGGATATCAAAGAAAAGGTCTGACTTCTGGTACTCGGGGTTGGAGAATTCTATTGCTTTAAGATCTGGCATGCTTCTTTAAATGTTGTGGATGTTATGAGATGGCAGAAACGGTTAAGAACAAACCACAGTTACTTTGCTCAAGATTCTAGGTCCTCCTGTAGAGGCTCCCTCAGTTTGGATACTTTCCGAATGATAATGTTCAAACAAAAGTCTTCCATTCCTTGCTTTTAATGATTGTTAGCTGGCTCCTGCTGTATGGAGATAAAGTGAGAGAAGAAAACATTAACTTATTACAAATACTTCTTTTCAGACTTCTATTTTTCCAAAAGCTACCCCTAAATTTAGCCTCTGGAATGCTTTGTAACAGGACACATTCCATCAGAAACTGTGACCCTTTAGAGCAGCTGCGTTGAATATAGCCTCATTCAAATCCAGGAAGAATGCCAGAGGCAGACATCTGTTCCACATTCCTAGGCTCTGGGCAAAGCCTTCCAGGGGTGACTGAATGGCATTCAGTCCTCTCAGTCTGCAAACACTGCAGCAGGAGCTCCCTAGGGCAACTGACTGCCTTGTGCATTCAGGTAACCTGCCGTGTTTGAGCTGCAGACCACCACGGTTTCACCACCCTGCCACAGAGTCCTGCTCCCTGGGAGGAGGCAGGCTCCTTCCCAGCAGCTCCTGTACTGCCACTGCTGCCTTGTAGAGCAATTTGAAACACGTGAAGACTTCATTCCCCAATTTCATAGTGGCAGGGAAGCAGCTTAGCAGCTTTGTACCCAAAGATGCAACTGAACTGCCTGGAAGAACTTCACACTTTGATTGCAGTATTTCTTGTGCTCCTTGGGTGGAGGAGCAGTGTGCCACATGCTGAGAACTGTTGGTTAATGAAAGTTATTTCAGTCTTCCGATCATGCTTAAGATGTATGTGTTTGCTATCAGTACAGTGCTTTCATAAAGGTCTTCCTCTGGAGCTTTGATTTATAATCTACATATTTTACCTGGTTTTTATTTTTTATAGCTGTTAGAAACATTTCCCTGCCTGTCAAGCAGACAACTATGCCACTTTCCCTTCCCTTTCTTTATGAAGTGCACTGTTTAGCATAAATATACACTGATAAGTGGCAGAGTCAACTTTTTTCCCTGTACAAAAGGAAAGTTTATAGCAAAATCTTTCAAATGTTCCTGTGGAAAGCTGATCATCAACGGAATAAAACCAGGGGAAGCTGAGGCTCTTACGTCTATGTTTGTATCTGCTCCAGTTGACAACAACATGTGATAGAAAACACATAAAACTTTAATTCATCCACAAAATGTTAAAAGTACACGAGATTTTTACAAAGAGCAGAGCCCCCTCTGTTCAACACAGTTCAGTAGGTGTAGGAGACTTGCTATTGCATTCTGTGTAAGCTGCCCACACATCATCTATTTCTTCCTTCATGTCCTAACTGTAAAAGAGCTTTTGCATGGTGTGGCAGGTTACCTCCATTCCTTAGGTTTCCTTCATGGATCAAAGGAGCAGTGTCTGCAGTGATAAAAATATCCTGGTTGGTTGAATGTTTGGAAACCCTGCTCTCCTAACTTGATTCCACACACTCATCAGCATCACTGAGTAACTTGCCAGGTGTCTCATCAGTTTTGATGCTGTTCAGCATCATGTTGCAGCACAAGCAAGCTTCAAAAAGCAAAGGCACAGAAGCTAAAACAGTCTCCAGTGCCTGCCTTTAGCTCAGTTTCCAGCACAGGGCTGGAGGGACAGAACACAGCGGCAATTCATTTCCAACAAGTCTGTGGAATAAATATAACATGGAAATGGGGAGCTGCTGCTGCCTGGGAGCTTTGGGAGGGTGCAGACAAGAGAAAAGGAAACAGCAGGGGCATACAACACCTCACTGTGCTGCCGCTAGCAACATGGGAAACAGGGAGCTTCTATGATGCTGGAGGCTTTATCCTCCAAATTACAGGAAAAATTATGAGCTCCCATTACCTTATGCTACACATGTCCCACCCCTCCGGTTTCCTGTTCCCTACAACCTGGTTGCCTGAAGGGACAATTCCCATGTGGGGCCTGTAGCCAAGAAATGGCCACAGCGTGGATCTCTGTCTTCTCTTGCTAGGCTGTTACACAGCCCATTAGGTTAATGCCCTTGCACTGCTGTGGTAGCACGAAAGCCTTTGGTGTCCCCCTGCAGGCAAGTCACAAACAGGAGGAGAAAAAGTATCTAGGTGAAACTAGCGCTTTAAATTGGCATTCAGAGATGCACACCTTGCCAGATTGGAAGTGCAGTGGCCAAATAGTGTGGGCAGCAGCTGTGTCCATGCTGAGCCAAGCAGGAAGACCCAAGCAACTGGCAAGTCATCACTGCCAAACTCTGTCTGCTGGACGTGATCCTCCCTGTTATTTTGATGTGACTGTGAGATGATGGTTTATCATAGCACCTCTTTTCCTAACCCTCCCAAATTAGTTACATCTGAGTTCCTATCAGATGTGTCACACATGGCCTTGACCAAAATAACCTCA